ATAACCCAGCTCTGGGTTATATTTAACCCAGCATTTTTTAGAGTGTAATGAGCACAGCAGACAAATGTTCCTCCTGTGCTTAATTATCCTCCTGTGTAATAATTATCGCTGTTAATTGTCAGGCACAGCACAAACAGTCCCAATTCTCCAAAAAATTAAACAAGATAAAACACTGAGTTGAATTTAACCATACTGTACTTTAAAGGAAACCTGCAATTGTTCATCACTCTGGGGGAAATCTAATTACACTTTTATATACTGGTCAATAATTTATGGGGGTCATGTGGTCCATGTAAACAATTAAATAATTTATTATTATTATTGAAAAAATTAAGCCTATTATTTTTTGGGACCATTAAGATTTTTTTTCCAATGTAACATTATTTTTCTCCTAAATTCTATTTACCATTGTGCATTCTGATGGTTTTTTTTTTTTGCAATACTTATTTTTTACAATGGTGATTTTTATTAGAAGACCTTAATAAACTTACTGTGTCTATACAGCTTGGATATTAATCCTGATGTGATTCTGATTCACTCGCAGTTTGATTCTGAATTTGATTAAATTCCAATTTATTTTGGTATATGTCATATATCATCTTTTTATCTTTTTTTTTTTTTACATATGAAAGAAATGATTTCTCTGCTAATAATGTAAATGATACAGAGGCAGTGTTTCAGACTGATTTGAACCAGTAACTCGTTATTTTTTGTTAAAAAATTCAAAGAACCAGTTAATTTAAAGAACTGGCTCATAAGAATAATTCATCTTGGGAATCTGGCTCCACAATTTAAATATACTGATTTTGGGTGAATAAAGTATTTAATAAAGAATACATTAATTACATTGTTTTTTATTACAATAGATGCGAACGTTTTTTAATTAAAATTGGAAAAGTAAATAATTTTGTTGCACACTTGAAGAGGGCAACAAGCGTGATTTAGTTGGGCTCTTTTTAATCAGCTAGCATTTTCGCGATCATATACAGATCCCGCCACAGCTCCGTACAACACAGTCTCGTTAAACATCGCGTGAACTACTACTAACTCTTCTCTTTTCTCTTTCAGGTCTACTCTAGGGGCTCTTCATCTGGCTACTGCCACCCACTGGACACCCATCACCTAGCTGTGAGTATGCAAAAAATATGCGCTGAATAATTGAACATGAATTAAACAATTGTCAAACAGACCAAAAAAAAAATTATATATATATATATACAAATATTTTATACAAATAATTAATATATCAATATATTCTAGATTTCCAGACAAATTAATTACATTTTTAATAAAAATAATTACCATACATTTCTGTAATGTTAAAATGCACAAAGTGGTCCTTAAAAGTTTTATTTTCTTTATACACAGTATAATATCTGAATATAATTGAATAATTTATTTCTTTCGATTCTGAGGTGAAATATGACCCTGAATATAGTCTTTACTGTTTTCAAAGTTGAAATGTCTGTCCATTTGCTTCAGACCAGACACAAGTCTGTCTGTCCAAAAGTCTTGTAGTTACATAAGCATGTGAAATTACAGCCCACTGTTGTAAATCTCGGTCAAAGTCTTCATTTCATCCAGATCTCCTTTTTCCTCATTAGTAAAAGTCACACAGTTAATTATTTCCCTCGCACCCTCTTTCATATGCAGATGAGGTGCTATTCTGCCACACAGAAGGCTTTAATAATGCTTTAATAATGCATTCACTTGGATCGGGGAGCTGGTGTCCCATTTTCTGTTACTGGACAGAATGTGCGATCCGTGATAGCTTGCACAAATGCTCTTCCTTTCCTAGAGTCTGATCAGAAAAGGGTTTGGGAATAGGCTAAATTGTGACTGATATGGAATTTAATCAAAACATAGCCTGGAGTCGATCCTCCCGCAGATGTTTCCCAATTTCATTCATCAGTTTGGTGCTTGCGCAGTGCTAAAGCCCGAGGCAGATATGTCAATGTGAACCACACGCATCAATTCTCTTAAAGGCAGGCTCCAGCCCTGTCCGCTCAGAGTTAGTTTTCAAGTTGTCATGGGCATATTCTTTAAATTACAGCCCTGCTTTATATCATCCCCATTAGGTCGAGGCACTGCAAACGTCACTGTGAGATTTATTCCACTCTCGCTTTCTGTCAAAAATCATAACGGCAGCCGCATGTAACCCATCGCTTACACGGCTTCATCACTGTCCACTCTAGGAAACCAATAGCTTTCGCTTTTTATACTCCTCACAAAAAGAGCCGTCTCACGTAATGGACTGAAACAAGTGTCCTAGCCTTCAGGCCTTCTCTGGAGGTATAGGTGACAGCTCCCTTTAAATGGACATAAAAGTTGGTTGTTGCTTGTGCCACTGGGTTTCACTGTTGTCAGAGGGAGTTGTGTGATTTCAGGGTCAGGCTTTGAGGGAAAAACGCGAGGAGAGGAAACTTTGCCATTTGTGACAAGGGCATGTGAGGACTCGGGCTTTAATAGGCTATAATGAGTTATTTACCAAGTGTCAGTTTTAACTCAAGGTTAATGTTATCTTAGGATGTGTCTCAATTAATTTTTCTAAGGTCTTCTGCACATTTGTTTGCAGAGACTGATGTGCCATTATTTAAATGAAAATTTTCCACGGTGGTTTATAATAAATATTATCTGATAAACAGCATGCAAATTTGCCAGAGAATTAGCATATTTATGAGTTTAATAACATCTATTGAACCATCTGTGTAAATGTTCCCAAGTAAATTAGGGTGTATTCTTCTGAAATATATTACAGAAAAATATGGAATTGCCATTAGACACTTTTTCTCTTAGAGTTAAACCGAAAAAAGCACCTAAAAGTTTCTGCAACTGCAAAGACATGAATATTTAATGAGGCTAGCATTGAGGCAGTTTATGATTGGTTGTCTTTTGCTTAAATCTAACAAAGCCAGTCAAGAACATGGCTAGACTGTATTTCACCATAAAATCAAAGGTAAGAAATAAATCAAACTGTTATTAAAGAAGATGAAGCCTAATTTTTGGACCATTATGGTTTCTATATTGTGACATTGTCCCCCAAAATTCTCATTACCATAATGCAAAAAAGTAATTCATATTACTTGGTTTTTATTTAAATTAGGTATTTATACATAATGATAATATTTGTTGTACAGCTCTTAATTTATGCAAATTAATTCGATTTTTTTGACAGTAGTAGCAATATAATGTGACCTAGATATGTTTTTTTTATAGGTTTCATAAGATTTACAATCGAAGTATGACCAGGGCAAAAATTTAAAATTGTTATCATTTACTCACCGTCATGTCCTTACAAAAAAGAATTTTGAAGAATGTTGGGAACCAAACAACGTCGGAGCCCATTGACTTTTATTTTAATACTGACCAAAAAAAAACACTTCTCGCATTTCTTCATATTTCTTATATTTCACAGAAGAAAGTAAGTCACACAGGTTTGGAACGACATGTGGGTGAGTAAATGATGATGTTAAGTTTTTTTGGGTGAACTATCCCTTTAACACAGGGTAATAATAGCCTTGAAAAAAAAAAACAGGATTTAAGATAGTGTGATGAAGCATGAGCAGCCGAGTACTTAAAAATAGTCAGCAACTATCAGTTAACTGCTTCAGCATGTTCTTTATATGTTCCACCTTTTGTTCTGTGAATGACTAACACAAAAATCAACACAAAAATTCCCCCGCGTGCAATAACAGCTCTGTAATGACTGATTGGGAATAGGATCCAGTCCATCAAACAGAGAAGTAATCTCAGAGTGACAGGAGCAGTTCCACTCTGCGCAGTCTATCGGATTTATGGAAATGCTTCTCAATGTAATGCACAACTGCTGACCTGCCCTGGCAGAACGACCCGTCCAATACACTTCAGCACAATGAGATCCTGAGACTCAGAGACTGTGGGGAACAAAAGGCTCATCAGCTGCAAGCCGTCTAACATATAATTGCATAATAGCGATGCTGTAATCTGGTTGCAGTAGGAAAGGAACATTTATTGATGTTTCATTATGTAAAGCACATTCATTACTACATTACGGTTTTGTTATAGGATTATTTCACCCAAAAATAACAGTTATGCCATCATTTACTTACTCTCATGTTGTTCCAAACCCTCATGATGACACAAAAATAGAAATTAATGCATCTACTAGTTGCTCTTTTCCATATAATTATAAATGAATAGGGACTGGAGCTTTCAGACTTCAGAAAGCAATCAAAAGGTCTATAAAAGTGGTCCATACGATTTGTGTTCCATAAGTCTTCTGAAGCCATATGATAGCTTTGTGTGAGAAACCATGCATAATTTGCATAATATTAAAAATGAACAAAATTAATAAAAAAAAAAAAAAAAGCTTTTCACAGGTTTGGGAAAACATGAGGGTGAGTACCATAATTGTCATTTTTGGATGAACTGTTGATTTAAGGAAACTCTTATTGAAAGTCTTGGTCTTTATTTAAATAACTTGAATAGTGATTAAAAAAAGTCTAGAGCAGACAAGTAAGCTGAATATAAGCCCTTATTATTTGGCTTGAAATGTAATAAAATTATAGCTGATAAGAAAGTGATTCATCCTTTCAATTCAACTCGCTCCCCTGGACATTTAATAACCACATTAACGTGCTTGTTCTAGCACCTTCTTTCTTTTGCAGCCGTTACATAAAGTCATTTCCTGGAGTTTTTCTTGAGGCTGAATGAAATAAATTAGAGCTGGGCAGTGTGATGGTATATACCGACGATAGAAATGACTCCCAGCAGGTCAAAGCATTCTCATAGGACACTCTGACACAAGGATGAACCCTCTTCTTCTGCCTCAGGGTCAGTGGTCAGAGTCTGCACAACAGACCATCAGGTGAGACAGTCAGGGGTTTGAAGGAGTTAAATGAGGACCGCCAAGGCTTCGAGCCCAGCGCTGATCAGCACTCAGTGATGCAGGAGGAGGAGGAAGAGGAAGGAGGAGCGAGCAGAGCAGCTGAGCCTTTCTGCTTTCAGTCTCTCGTCAGCGTGTGCCAGAGCAGTCTCCTTTGCTGTGCTTCTCTGAGAAACACACACCCACACACACCAGAACACTCTTCATTGCTGGTTGGGGGAGAGTGCTGAATCCTTTCCTCTTTGCCTGGATCATGCTGCCCTGGAAAAGAAGTAAGTTTGTGCTGGTGGAGAACGAGTCCAAAAGCAAGCCGAAAAGTCTTGGAGCTGGACTGACTTATCATTCCCTGCTTTCGACTTTGCTCCACTCCTGTCCGGACCTTGTTCCCGACTGCCCGTTTCAATGGCTGGGGAGCGTTTTCCACAGCAAACGCCAGAAAGTGGAGCTCAACAAAGAGGAACCCACCTACAACGTGCGTTACCTGGGCAGCGCAGTCACCATCATGGCTAAAGGTGAGGATTGCATGCAGGAGGCGGTGGCTAAGATTTGGATTCGCAGCAACTACGGCGAACAGAGCGCCAAGATGAAGGTCAGCGTCGGGCCGCACGGAATTCGCATGGGGGTGGATAAAGGTGGCAAAAAGAAGCCCGTCCACCTTTATTCCCTCAACCGTATCACATACTGCAGTGCTGACCCCTTCCGGCCAAAGATCTTTGCGTGGATTTACAGGCATCAGGTGAAGAATAAAGCGGTGGTTCTACGATGCCACGCCATCCTGTTGGCGAAGGCAGAAAAGGCCCGAGCATTAACTCTCAGCCTGTACCAAAACTCAACATCGGCATTCACAGAGTTCAAACGACTAAAGCGCCAGTCCGACTTCCGTCATTGCCAGCAGCAGCTGTTGGGCGAGGACATTGTGCCTCTTATGCCTCTTCGGAGACTCCTGAATGGCCAATGCCACTACCAGCCACCTGCAGAAAAGCCTGGAAGCGCCACACGGCTCTCCTCGATTACTGAGGAAGAGGAGGAGGATGAGGATGGACCGAGGGATGCTGAATCCACCAACACGAAAAACGCCGGAACTCCCAGTCCTTCTCCTCCAGAGAAAGATCTGGGGAAGATCGTAAATAGACTGGATGAGGTTTCGATTACCAGCTGGGATGAAGCACAGATGACTATCAGCACTCTGGTGTGACGTCAAATGAATACAGTTTAGTGTCCTCACCACTGAGCCTCTGTCCTGTCGCCTCTCTTGCCAACCCACTCTGTTTGGTACGTCCATCAATGCACCGTGAAACAGCCCCTCGAAACTCGGGATAAGGTCCGTTGGCAGCCACAATGCCGCCTGCAGAGGAAGCGTTACACGAGCTGTATGGAGAGGAAGAGCCAGTAGAAGCACAATGTAAGGAAGACCACAGGTACAACAATCATCTCGGAGTTTGTTGAGAGCTTACACTGAAAAGCCTTTATCTACCCCCGACATTGAGCAAAGCTTAAACTGCACACCCAAAGAAGATAAAGAATTCATCTTGTACTCTCGTACTCACTGTGATTTTGTGAGTACATGCCAAGTGCTTTAGACTGATGGACTATGAGAAGGAACCTTAAAATGTGACTTTTTGTACAACCAGATGGTCTTTTGATGTTTATAACTGTCCCCCGGTGACCTCTTTCAACTGGCTCCGCTTCAATGGGATGCGGTTAAAGCCGGTTTATTGGCATTGGGAGCAGCACTAATGAATTAAACCATAACTTAGGAATCGAGGCATTGACTTGACATGTTTACTGCTGCCATTCGTCATAGCTCTGCTAATCAGTAATGCATAACAATTGGAGGCATCACCTGTGACGTTTGAGATGGGCCTTTTAAAACATTTATGAATGGTATCTATTTTACACTGTGATTTGTTTGGGACCAAAAGGCAGCAATGTATCTTGTATTTATTCAAACAAGCAATTGTAATTTATGCTGAATATGTGTTGGTGTAATTAAATAATCATAAAAACTAATTTTTATGCCATTCACGTGAAGGTCGTAGCTCCCATCTATGAACTCTAGCATGTGTTTTTGTAATTTCAGCTCATCGTATTAATCTTCTGGAAACTATATGGAGAATATGGTGATTTTTTTTCTACTACTTTCATCTTTTTCTGCACAATGGGACACTGTCAGTGTGGAAAAATTGCCAAATGTTGTATAATAAAATGTTTGCTTATATTAATTATGAATTTTTAGAGCCCAAGCTTTCCATTTATTTAATCCTGGAATGATCTGATTGAGTGTATTTGAAAATGCAGACTGCTGATTTTCAGGCTGTATTTCAAAATATCATAATTTCTAGCTTTAAAAAATACTTGATTCAAAGAAAAGGGAAAAAAATGCCCATTGACAGCCTGTGAGTGGGCTGAGGAAGGAACTGATTTCATCTGAAGGGCATTTAGCTTTTCTGTCAAAGTGAAGCTATTAATCAGCCGATTGAATTGTACCGGAAGTGAGCATAAAACACCTGGAGCTTTCAGCTTGACATGAAATCAGCCAGAAGAGCCTTCAACAGCCTCTCAGAGCAGGGGCATCATGCACTTATTATTTTTGAGGGGGCGCGGGGGGGCTATGTTTTATTTAATTTTTCCTTTTTTATTTGAAATAATCCCACACATGTTAACTATATCGTGGAATATTTAGATTCTCAAATATGTGTAAGTACATGCATTTTGTACCTTTATAAATCATGTTAGTTGATTTATAACGGGTGATGGGCAAAGTAGACTAATGTTAGTGTACTCTATTAATTAACTACACATAAAACCTCTCTTTTTTACTTAAGTAGGCCTACCAGATATGGGTGTCATGCCATAAAATATTTTTAATAGGATTGACTTTGTATTTAACATGAATTTAATAAAAAAAAACATTGTAAGTTACTAATTATAACACTTTCATTGTACAGAAAGAGAGCAAAGAACATTTACATTATCAAAGAACATTATCATTGACAGTCTAGCCAGAGTTCAAACACTCTCAAAAACTCCCATTATAATCACTGAAGCTGTTTACACTGTGAAATGCATATCTTACTTACATCGTTCGCACATCTGCACTTTGTTGTTTCTGATGAGAGAATTAATTTGCCAGAGAGCAGAATTCAGTCAGTGAACAAAACACCTGCGTTTCAGCAATGACTCATCTGAGCGCCTCTGATTGGCCGTTGCATTCATAAGCTCAACAGAATCATGTGTGATTGGTTATAATGCACAGCGCTGTAAAACGCGTCTGGCTCAGCGCCAGCCAGCGAAAGCAGGTTTGAATTTAGCAGCTAGTGATGTGATCACACCCGTGTGATTGTATCAGTTATAAAAAATATTATTCAACTATTTGTGTCTTTTGCAAGCTGCATTCCAAATCCATTTGGCTCGAAAATCTGAGGGGGTCCATGTCGGTTTGAATGGGCATGACGCCTCTGTCTCAGAGCATAGTTGATTACAACGGACAAAAGGACAAGCACATAAATACGCACAATTCCATAATATCTGCATCAACTTAACCACAACAAGATCTCCTTTCTGAAGTGTAGTTGAAATGGTTTCATTAGTTGTGCTTGCTAGGACAGACATCACTATTGCTATTGCTTTTACTTAGGGTTAGCCAACGGACGCCATTTGTGCCCATGCCATTTGTGCTACATGGATGATTTATACCTCAAACTGTGCAGGAGAGATAAGCTTATTAATTTTTTTAAGCGATCATACCAGCAATTTTTCAGTAGAGTCCCATAGACTTACATTAAAGGAGGCACTCAAGCCATATCTAGAGATGTGTAGAGACTTGTTTAATTAATGTAATATGACAGAGTGAATAGAAGTAAAAAAATCTGTAAATAGAAGTTTTAAAAAATATGTTTTTTTAATCATGTTTTTTGTCTCTTGATTTTTTAGAGGTCTTATGTTCTCTTCTCTTATGTTCTGTTCTCTGTGTGTTTTTTTGTTAACAGGCTTTAACGAGGCAGAGAGAGAGAGAGAGAGAGAGAGATATGCATGAAACAACAAGTACAATCAGTAAATGACATCCAGATGGCAGCAGAAAGGTGCATTATGGGAGGACCACACATTTTACATTATTGTGAGGCATGCATTTAATAGGCATTATTTTGATATGTGTCATTTCCATAAAGTACACTACATCTGGATTGAACTGCAAATGCAAACCATTTTGAATTTGGCTTCTATCTAAATTATTAATTTACCCCAAAAAGTAATTCTGTCGTTTACTTTCCCTGATGTTGTGAAATGCATTTCATGCTTGAATCAAAGCCTATATGCTGTTATTTTGTCTTTGGAGCACAGAAAGTGTTATAATGTGACTAAATTTAGTGCACAAATCATACAAACTACTTTTATGATGATTTTAGAGCTTGACGGGCATGGTCACAATGAACTATTGGTTTAAGAAAACAGCTGTGTAAAGATTCTTCAAACTTTCTTTTTTGTCTTTCTCAAAAAAACTAGTAAAAAAAAAAGCACAAAAACACATTTATAATGTTACAAAACATTTCTATTAACAAAAAAGACCAAAGTTTAGGAAACAAAACAAAACAAAAAATCCTGACCTTAAACTTTTGAGCGATAGTATTTATGTGACCTGGTATATGACAGATTGACAATCCCGATCTGGACATTTAGTGGCTGTGATGGACACCATTTTGTCCTTGGGATGGGATTCTGTAAGTGTAATCTCACTTCTAACTCTCTGACTGTTAAAAATGTGAGTGTGGGTTCGAGTGTGAGAGTGACAGACTAATGGGAGTGAGGGATGTTACTTCTCACCTATAAGCCTCAATGAAAGTGTTAATAGTCTCCCCTGGAGGCACTGAGGGGAACAAAGTGTGCTGAGCCGGAACATACAGGATCAATGAGCCATCTTTCAGGCATACAGGGAGAGAGAGCGATAAAAAGGCTGACAGCCCTGTTTCAGGTGTGTGTGTGTGTGTGTTTAAAAGTGAAAGATAAAGAGAGAGATACTTGCATTTGTATTCTTCAGCAGCACTGTTCTCTTTCCTTGAACAGCAGTGCTGGACTCTGCATTATTACTTCTAAACACACACTGTGCCAGATCAAATTCCCTGAAGGCTCAATCATAAATAGTTAATTCCCGAGAAATATTTGCACAAATAGTTACAGAGGAAAGATGTTTGCTCCATTCAAATTTAGTTAAGCAAAGCTTTGACAGTGTTTAACCGCTAAATAATGGTGGTTTTATTTAAATCTTTAAATTAAATTGTCAAATAAAAGGCAAAATAAGACAAACCTGATTGATTTCCTGAACAAATCTGGCAAGAGAGTACAGAACTGAAGGTGATTTAGTAGAAACTTTTGTTAACTGTTGTTATGTGTTATTTTAAAGTCATCAAGAAAACTAAATTAGGGCTTTCAATCGATTGTAAATTGTAATTGAATAACATGTGTTGGTTCATTAAATGCATATGAATATTTGCTAAAAAGAGCTTCCAAATGAAGATAATTCAAAGATGTTGTGTCAGACAAGTATTTCACACTTGGTACACTATCGATCAAAAGTTTGGGGTTGGTAAGATTTAAAAAATTTATTTGAAAGAGGTTTCTTATGCTCACCAAGACATTTGTTTGATCAAAAATACAATAAAAACAGTAATATTGTGAAATATTATTACAATTTAAAATAACAATTTTCTATTTGAACATGTTTTAAAATGTAATTCATTCATGTGATGTAAAGCTGAATTTTCAGCATCATTACTCCAGTCTTCAGTGTCACATGATCCTTCAGAAATCATTCTAATATGCTGATTTGCTGCTCAAGAAACATTTCCTATTATTATCAATGTTGAAAACAGTTGTGCTACTTAAACATTTTTTGCAGGATTCATTGGTGAATAGAAAGTTCAAAAGCACAGCACACACACACACACATACACACACACACACACACACACACACTTTTGAATGGTAGTGTATATAGATAGCATTCCAATTCCATTGGCATGGAATGATTGATATAATGTATACTTTAACTGCAATGGAAGTCACTTTGAAGAAATACACTCAAAATTAATGTGTTGATCTGCCATTCTTAAACAAAATCTACAATGTTTACTTCAACATGTTCCTGGTCATTGTGCATGCTTTCCAACAGAAAATTATTATTTTTTTTTAATTACTTCCTATTTGAATATATGTCAAATTATGAAATGGCTAGCAAATGTTATCATGTGAACTTTAGATCTTCATTGAAATAATAATAATAATAGATTCAAAAGGAACAAAATGCAGTTCTAACACACAAACGACTGCAGGAAATTAGATGGCCTACAGTACAATTGTTATGCAACGCCATCATAAATCAGGCCAAATAACTTTTCCACGCTGATCCATAGAGTCCGAGCTAAAACAGCTTAACTGTTATTAGCACTACAGAACAATATACTCCAAACACAAGCCACCCACAAGGGATCCGGGCTCGCTGACACTCGCAAATAAAGAGGCGCTGAATTTTGCATGACCTTTCAAAAACAGTGCTTGCACACCATTATGACCATGTGCATTTCATGGAGGATGAAAGATATTATTCTCTGACTGTCCTCCCAGTAAGACCAGCCAACATCTGTACTGTTATCGAAGCCAGTAGAATCTATGGGACTTGAATATTTCAGTGTTTTCATCCAAAATATTCTCTTTTCTCGTGTTTTTTTTTTGTTTTTTTTGCAATTCTTAGCACAGAGAACAAGATGAGGAGAAACATTTATGTGGTGAGGGTTCTTTAAAGATCAAAGCAAGATCTTTGATGTTGATGCCATCACAAGTTTTAGCAGCAACATTAAAATTTAATTCTTGGAAAAATAGAGAGAATAAGGCAGGTTCATTTGCCACAGAAATTTTTAGATGTTTAAGATTTGTAGCATTAAAGAAAACATGAAATCAACCCTATTTACCCTGTTATTTTTAGTAAATAAATTGTCTTACTGTATATTATTAATTGAGTTTACAAGTTCGAAAAATTTTTTTTTACAGTGTATGATTTTTCCAAAAATCATAAATCTGAATAATAGCACATCTCTCTTCAACAAACTGCATGAAAAAATAAACAGTGCAATATGAGCTGTGCACCTAAATGTAATATTTAAAGGTCCCCTGAAATGCTTACAAAC